AGTCTATCATGATGGCGATTTGGCTTAGCTATGTATAACACGAAAATTAGTGAGAAGTGAGTAATTTTCTCCTTTAGCATGAAAAATCAATACACAGAGCTTCAGTCGGCCGAAATTTGACAGATGGCAATTTCTTGTGGCTGTCAGTGTCAGCTGGCGAAGCCATGCACTTGACCGGAACAGCTTTTAGTGTCTGATAGGTTTTTCTTCGCTGCTTTCATGCTTGCTCCGTTGTAAATGTATAATAGTGTAGTTTCTTCTTTAGTTTATTATTATTTGCGGTCGTTTATAATTGATTAGGTGTTTTATAATACCGAAAATTATTTCTGGATTTAATGGGAAGAGCCATTTAATGGCAAACTTCGATTCCTTCAGAGGTTAGAAGATTTCGGTTATTTCGTCCTGACGTTTGTGAAGAAAACACCCGTCGGTTTGTGCTTTTCTCTCTTTCAATCGAATTGACATTCAAGCGTTCGGGAGTTTCAAGCCTCTTTTCTGTTATGTTGTCAGAGGTTGCGATATAAGAGACGCTGGCATTACTAACGAAGACGATCAAGAAAAGTCGAATTGAAAAGACTCGTGGTAGAAAAGAGGACTCTTCAGGATACTGAAACGTTTTTCAGTGGCTGTCGAATGAATGGGGCAGTGCCTTGAGCCGTTTAATTTCTTCTGTAAACACGACTGTGTTCTCGACGACGCTGACACCCATGTCAGGCGCTGTTCATCATTTATTTAATATAATAGAACTACAAATCTAGTGGTTTGCTAGCACTGCCACATATCATCGATCCTCACGCAGCTCTAACACATCCACATCTTTGCCTGAATGTTCTGGTACAACGTTGGTTCACTTTTCGTATGAGCCGTTTCATGTTCGATTGTCTTTCCTGTCCACGATAGTTTGTTTCGCTTAACCCTCGTATTGCACTTGCTAGACTGGCGAAATCGTTTATAGACTTAAGTCGTTTTTGACCACACAGTTTGATGCAACATGCAGTTTTTTCTGTCGCATGCTCGATTGTTGTGTTTTCTGTATGCATCTGTATTATTTTGACAAGAGAGCGGAACCTAGATCTTAAGGATGTTCGCTTCTTTAAATCTGCTATCAAGTTATGGTTAATTGACTGCTTGTGTCTTATCTTCACTTGAAGACAGGCATTCTAGAACTTCGATATACAGAATCGGTTCAAAATTTTAGAAATTTAGATATCTCCTCATTTTGATTCAATGGTTGGAATGCGGGGTCCAGAAGTTCTGTAACGCGATTATTTAAGAATGGGTGTCATCTAGCAATGGCATGAATCAGCTGGATAATGATCTGGTAAACTAGTACACTGTGTTCTAATGTTATTTGAGGCTAGCTACATTTCATTTCAGTAATTAAAACGCAATTTGACCGCATACAATCATTTTTTGTCCTTTTTTCTTCCTGTTTGCAAGTTAATGAGTCATTGCGGGAGTGCTCCATCCCCTCCACTCCAATATGTCAGCGTTGTTAAGCAAATGGTTTCTCTTGGATCGATTAGACCACCGGTAATCGACGACGAATCGTGCCGTCCACAACTCACTCGCCATTCCTCGCTGTTTCCAGCATTCTCCCTCCAAGCGCAGCCTTTCCGACTTCTGATTCCATCTTCCCACCGTCGTGATGAGTGGTGAAGCGGCCCAGATCCGCTCGAGAGGATACCAGCTAACGATCATCGCTGACCATCTCCCGTTCTTGAACCGAGTTGTGTACGACTCACCGTAGCTTCTCCTTTCTACTTTCAACGACCAGGTCCATCACTCAAGTCCGCTCTCTGCTCACTGTGTTAGAGATATGGATGCGCCGTGAGATGTTTGTCTGGCGCTCTTTCGCTTTAGTGAGTGACTTCGTCTCATAGCCATGCAAAACTACGGAAAGGGTGGTAGAAATAAACAGATTCGCTCGGGTTTCTTCTCTGATGTCGCCGAAGAGGACGTTCTTGATGGAATGGAACGTACAACAGCCGGCTCTCTTTGTTCATTTTGTTTGGCTTGATTATTCTGCATGTTGATCTCAGTCCTAAGTATATGTATTTATCTGCTTCGACTATTTCACATTTTAATATTACTGGGGTTTTCGACAGGATAGTCTACTTCAGTATCTTCATCTTTGAATGATTGATTCGCCATGCTACTTCTGTGCTGTTTCTCTCAAGCCGTTGCAATTTGTCTTGTAACTAAAACATTTCTCTATCTTGTCTCGTTTTCCGCAAATAACATCATGTCATCTGCGAACCATTGATGGCTGAGCTGTCTATTATGGATGTTAATCCCACCTTTTTAGTTCTATCTTCGTAGCATCATTTCACTACGGAAATCTGGAGGGGGTGTTTGTGAGGCAGTCAGGTTTTACTTCATTTAGTGGGTTCATGTAACGGATGTCGATGTCCTGTTCTGCCAGTTTAGTCTGCACCACGTTATACTCGCCAGTGTTTAATTCTTTCTCTTAGTCTACGAACGCTCTGCACAGATGGGACTGGAATTCCTTCTGTCGTTCTAGGAGCTGACTTAAAGCAAAGGTGCTATAAGCAAATGGTTTATTGCGAGAAATTAACGGTGTTATTGTTCATGGAATATTACTTATAGAGAAATGCAGGATAGCCACTGGTTCCGCTAATCGTGAACCATTGCATTTCGTGGAATGCATATCGTCGTCTTTCATTCATTACAACATCTGCATATCATTTACTCTTCCACTTACTCTTCAGGCAGCTGTTTTCTCAGTGTCATGGAGATATTCGCTATTCTGATTTTTGTTGTCATTTCGAAATTTTTCCAGAAAAAATACGGTCATGAAAGTTGTAGTTTCAAGGCGGTACATACCTGTCGATTTGTTTCTTCTTCAGGTCCGATTCTGGAGTATTGATCCAAGTTTTATGCTCAGGGCTCTGACGATACAGATTCTTTCTTTCCAGCTGTTTTCCTCGCTTTCTGCAGATTACTTTCTCTCGAAACCGATTCTTAGTAATTTTTCGACATTTTTTCTTTGTTTCAATTATTAATGCAGTTTTATAGGTCGATAATTGTTCGCAACAATAAGAACCGCTGATTAATTCTGGCGTGGGTTGAAAGCTGTGTAAACTAATGCGATGATGCATATGACGCTTCTAGCCACGTAGATGCGAAGAGACGCAATATGTTTTCTTCAGACTTCTAACAAATTGTGCGGCTTTCTTTGTATGTCTTGCTCTATTTATGACAAGGTGGGGGCGGTTTTTGTCCGTCGGGGTTGTTTTTTTTTGATTTACTGCGGTCACTTGTCAATGGCTTTATGGCATTGGTTGAAACTCAATTTTTCCATCGGCGTTGTATCGAAAGAGCATTTTTGATGGTCCCCTAACCTTTAGGAATTTCTGGCGTTTAACAGCAACTTCAGGTACATGTTACACAGCATTACCTCTCCCAGTTATCCACGGTTAAAATCTAATTGAAGAAGCAGAAAGCGACGCTATCAACCGCGTATCGGTTGGTTTTGGAATTCAGCTTGTGATGCTTGTTCGATTCGTTGAAGATCAGGGTCATCGGAAAATCTATTCGAGTTGCTGGCCATCAACCAGAAACGAAGAGGGGTTTGAAAACAGGGCAATCAGTTATATCTGAGTGATGTATTTTTCATCTAATCAATTGAATGATTAGCATAAATTCGATACGTCACAACAGTGACTTGCCAGCCCCACTCTCTTGGCTGAGCCACATTGAAGATCGCCAAAGAACTGACCACAAACCAGGTGGTTATTAGAATTTAGACCAATGAACTTGTCCATTTGATAGCTTTCTAAAACAATTGGAAAGGCTTGCTGGAGCAACTGCACGTGATTTCAAAGCAACAGTTGCATTAAAGATGAACGAACGAGTAAAATTCGACAGATTCGTTTCCTAACTGTTCCAGGATTTATGGCTTTTATGTTGGTTAAGGAGAATGGACCTAGCCGTACTTTGTGGCATACCTTGTTTCATATTCCTTCGTATATTAACTGTTCAGCAACAATGGCAAGCTGGTTTGGATTAAGCCTATATATCTAACACGGATGCCTCATATTGAATGGCTTCCTTAACTCAGCCATTTGTATTGTTCTTTAGCCATTAGGTACAGTTGGATTTTCAGGATCGTGTGATTTCTGATTGGTGTTTTGTGTGTTTGTTTACTGAGACCACCACCTTGAGTAGTTAGCAAAAGCAGAATGTCTCCAGTTTGCGATGTTCTTCGTGTCGCAGCTTTTCAACACCTTTGCTATTCGGCGTATAAAGAAATATTCCTCTCCGAATTCAGATCTGCCTTTACATTGTTTATTTATGTTGCACGCTGGCCTCTCGGTCGACATCTACGGTGCGTTTCTTTTTCTGCTCCCTCACGGGAAATTCACGGGCTGGAGTACATGCAGTATGCTCAATCAGTTTTTCTAACAGGGCAAACTACCTTTTCTTAATCTTTGCATCTACTGAAACAACCTGTGTCATTCCTTACGTAATTCTGCCATTTAACCCTCATTATGCTTTGAATGCAATGTCGTTTTAGGTAGTTCAGCAGTGGTGCGTTCCACTCTTTCGTTAGAACAATACTGACCTGATAAGAACTAAGGCAAGGTGCAGACGGATTTTTGTGGGATAAATAACCGAGTAGCCTGAGTATTTGATTGGTTTTCAAAGGCACATTAGGCTAGGGAGATCTTCGTATTTAACTTTGGTTGGCTGTTGCGATCGCTTGAGATGAAGCTGAGATATATAAATTATTCAACTTCGTGTTTGATGGATTCCTAACTTTCGAGTCCGGACATTAAAGTAAAGGTTTGGTTTCGCAGCTATATTGCAAACAAAAGCTGACAAGCGATAGAATTCCCTTCCTGTACAGCTCACCAGGACACTATTATCTACATATCCCAGAGGAGTAAGATAGCTAGCCGGATATCTTGAACAGGACTTTCCTTCTAGAATAAGACCTTAGTCTTTGCCATGGTCAGCACTGTTTTGGAGAAAAAAGTCAAGAGGAATATAGAACAACAGTGGTGAAGGCGCATTTCTGTTGCAAATGCCGCACTTAATAAGGAGCTATTCAGATGGCTCTTCTTCATTTTTGGCAACACATGGTTCCTGCATGCATCTCTTCCAAAGTAAAAGAGTTGCTATTCTGATATCCCACAAAATTTTGAGATTTTCAACATCGTTGAACAATGTTTTGAATGATATATGTATGAGTGTTTGGATGCATATATGATGCATGAGTATTTTTTCATTTGAATGCAGTCCGTGAAACTGAATTCAGCATTATTGCTGTAACGGCAGCGTGGTAGCGATCATGGAAGATACGGTATGTTATATTAATGCTAACTGCAGTGAAATATGTTCTATGTAATCGCTAGAGTTGCGCTATCGCTTTATCGTGGTACCTTGTCTTCCATAACTCATATTTTAGGCTGCTGCAGAAGACGTTTGGATAATTCTGTATATTTCTTCTGTAATCAGTTTCTAATAGGATCAATGGACAGAAGTCGTTGTCGTCTATTGTTGTTACAGAATCGATTTTAAAGTTAGTCTTTTAAAATTCTGTTCACTGTTTTGTTCTTGTGTCGGTAGTCATGCTGGAAGGCAGAATGTTTTACTTTATTTATCACTGTCAAAGTTGAGTTGTGTGTAACTCAGCCTTTTGACTAGTGCAGCAGCTTTAATATTTTCTTCTGGCAGGCGTAACGGCTCTTATGATCTACTGATAATTCACAGTTTGATTTGGGTAACCTTCGCAGTACTGGATAGTCACATTTTTGTGAATCTTCTTTTGTCAGATATTTTCCATGGCTTGGTATGGTATGGTTATAATTTGCATGATGTAATTGTGCTTAGGATTATGGGCGACAAGGGTACAGGACAACGAGCTTTCGCGAGCAGACTCGCTCGGTAAGTCATAACATTTCCCGGATGCAATTAATTCGTTGCTTTTAGTGTCCACGCTTCCGACGTTCGTCGAATCGCTGCTTCTGCGTATGGTGTTAGCCGGTCAGAAATTCCGACTTCCTCTGGGATAGCAATAACTCCTATGGTAAGCAGTTTCCCATACTCATGGTAGATTCCCAGATTCTTCCTAATGTGTGATAACAATAGCAAGTTCTGAATACAGTGACCTAGAAAGTTTAAGCGCTGGCTTCATCTTCTTGAGTTTCGTGAGGAAATCTGCAAATGGTAAGTCTAAATAATGTTTGAAGAAACGGTACATAACAAATGCCAGCATCACCCATTTAGCGGAGTTGTCTAGATCGCGCTTGTTATTAGTGCATATTGCTTAATTGCACTTGCCTGCAATAACTGTGCTATGTACGCCTGTGCATGCTCACCTCCTTGAGTCGTTAGCTGCTGCAGAATGTCTCCGGTTTGTGATGTCTGTTGGGTTTTTAATTATAACCACTTTTTCTATGCGGTAGTGGGTAACGCCCCATATTGTAAGAAATGTTGCCTCACCGAAGGATTAATTGTCCCTATCTTGTTCACCCCTGCTTCATTCTAGTTTCAAAGTTATATCTGCCTTGTTTCTGTTCTTTTAACAACCTCGCGTCTTCAGCCGCTCTCCACTTCAGAAACTGTTTGGGCTTGTAAATAGTTTTCCTTTATATGCTCTCTTCCATTATGGGTCTAAGCCAGTGTTTCTATATCCATTACGACACTTTTGAATAGAAATCCATACCTTTATCAGCCGAGATCTTATTCATCTTCCACTGCCGCTTCTCCTTTCGGGACGCGGAGGCACACGCGTCAGGCAGTGCTTCCAACGCTCCCGATCTTGTGACAGAATCTCAGCTATAGCAGAAGGCAACTGGAGTCTGAAAGAGACGCCTTCCATATATTTGCATCAAGTTAATCCTGGCCGTCCCCTAGGGCTTCTGCCTTGCGGCTTGCCAAGAAACAGTTGCTTAGCATTCCTTTTTGCTGGAGGCATTCGCAGCACATGCCTAAACCATCGCAGCTGTGACTTCTCTGTCTGGAGAGGCAGAGGCTCTACACCAAGCCTCTCTCGAATGTCACTATTCCGCACCATGTCGAGACCCGTAAGGCCAGCGACTCGTCTAAGTAAGCCCATTTCAGCAGCTTGTACCCGAAATCGAAGCCTTTCAGTTATGGTCCACTACTCATGACCGTAGGTAAGCATGGGGCAAAGATCTGCTTCAATTCCAAGAACATAATTTTCAGACAGAGCTCTGCTTTAGTCATACTGGATCAGGCTAGGTCACCCAGAATATTCTTGGCTACTACAATTCACCGGTGCATCCCTTCCTCAAATTTTTCATCACTAATAAATACGACTCCGAGGTACTTGAACGTCTCCACCTGCTCCACTGCCTTTCCGTTATTCTGAAGAGAGCAACGGGCAGCAGGACAAGAAAACACGGCTTTTCGTTTTAGATACGTTTTAACGCATGCCGGTCAGGTCGCACTCTGCTGCAAACCTTTCAACGGAGCACTGAGGATCAGTTTCAGAAGATGCAAATGAAACAAGGTCGTCTGCAAACAGCAACATTCTCGTCTTCACATCTCCTACACCGATACACTCGTCGCCTTTGCAGCTCCTGTCTGTTCTATCCATGCACAACAGAAACAGCAGAGCAGACAGGACGTAGCCTTGACGGGTATCCGGAAAGTTCACCGACTGGAAAATTCACCGACTGGAAAATTCACCGACCAGCAATTCGTCGAACGAAAATTCACCGATTTTACAATTGATCGCCGATAATTTATTTATAATGATCATAAGCCAGTATTATTTAGAAATAACATATTTGAAAGATTTTGTTAATGAGCAGAATAATTACCATAATATTACCTACTCACAGAAAAATAAATTTTATCTAATGCATTTATTTAGAAATGGCATATTTGAAAGATTACTTAATGAGCACAATAATTATCATGCTTCATCCTTATATAAAGCCTCAGAAAATTCAAAGAGGTCAGTTTCAAAAAGTTCTTCGAGTATGATACTTCAGTTATAAATTTTCGTTAACCATCATGACCCTTCAGTTCGTCACGAGTAAAAAGGGAAAACAGAAAAGTGGACGGTCACTTATTTTTCAAAGAAAAACAAGCTGACAAGACATTGGAAGTGTGAGATGTATCATTAGCACAATTTCCGGGTTCATGTAATAACAGTTGGAGATGCGAGTGAGGCCGTGAAGGGAGTTCACAACCATATTTTGAATGCAGCTCATATAGAAGCTTTGAAGATGGAAGATGTTGTATGTGGTGCTGCAATAAATAGCCAAGAAGCACCCCAATATGTTATATCAAATGAGTACGTGGGACTTAGTCCAGCTGCTGAAGAACATATTTCGAAGACCGACAGTATCAAAAGAACGATCCAAAACATCAGAATAAGGAAACAAGCAGCACCAGTTATGCCTATGACCCGACAGGAAATTGTATTTCCCGATGAGTACAAGATATCTAAAGAAGGTGAACGGTTCTCGCTGTTTGATTCAGGACCAACGGAAGAGAGAATAGTTTATTTTCCACCGCAAGAAATCTCCTTTTACTAGCCTCATCTGAATATTGGTTTGTGGACGGAACTTTTAAAACGGTGCCTCATTTGTTTTACCAACTCCACACACTCCATGGTATTCAGGTGAAGAGTTCAATTCCGCTTTTCTATGGTCGACTACCAGACAAGACAGAAGCCACTTATGTTGGGTTATTGCAACAAGTAAAGCAAGTTCAACCTGATGCCTTCTCAGAAGCAGCTGTGGCCGAATTCAAACCTGCCATAGTCAGTACTATTCGTCAAGAATTTCCAAGGGCTAGACATCGAGAATGTTTCTTGAGTTTCTCGCAGTGTATATTCCAAGGATTCAGGCAGAAAATCTACAAAGAAAGTTCGAAACTGACGTCGAATTTGCTATGAGAATGCGACTGTTGTCTGTGGTGGTCTTTTCCCAACAGAAGATGCGACAGAAGTATTTGAGGTTCTTAGCGGTAACTGTGATAACATGCCTGAAGAAGCACAACAATTGATTGATTACTTTGAGGACTGCTGGACTGGACATCCTCAACGACGCATGGGACACCGAATGCCCTGCTTCTCCCTGGAATTGTGTAACTGTCACGAAGGAGTAAGACA